CGGACAGAAGGACAGACGGACAGATGGACAGACTGACGGACGGGACAGATGGACAGAGGGACAGACAGACGGAGGGACGGACAGACAGACGGACGGATGGATGGATAGACAGACGGACAGACAGATGGACGGATGGACAGACAGACGGACAGACGGATGGACGGACAGACGGACTATTATAAAGATGTGCACAATCTGAGCTTAACACAGAAATGTAGAACGTTATGCAAACGGAAAAAGAAAATATGCCGCAGGAATAATCTTACACATGTACCTCCTGAAGGAGGCAGAAATGAGGCTGGCAAAAAGCTGTGTTTTGCAGTAAAGCATCTTGAACTAATCTTTTTTATTATAAGCTGCCTGGAGTCACTTAGGAGAGATGGGCAGTGCAGGAATGTGATGAATAAAAAAATACATACTTTTTATAAAAGCATGCAGTAAAAGCTTTCTACAGCATCAATAAGTATTCCCCGCCTTTTTTTAGAAGACATGGTACCAGTGGGATTGTGAAATGCTCTTTACTAATTATCAGGAGAATATTGGAGTATATTAAAGGCATTTTTTTTTCCAGTGATGCCACATAAGACTCTGAAGTTTACTATTTTCCATAAAGAAATTAACTGCATCAATTAAGCGAAGGATATCAAACTGGAGTGTATGAAAATTTAACAAGGGATTTAAACCAGGATAGGTGCCAACCTGATGCCAAAGATATTTGAAGGACAAATAAGGCAGCCTACAAGTAAAAAAAAGGCCTATTATTTGGGCATTGGAATTCAAAAAAATCAGAGGAAGGATTTCCATTATGAAGACTGTGTTGCCATGGATTTTTTAAAAAAGAGATTTATTGAGGTAATTGGAATTTTCATAATATCACATCATCCAAATTTAAGCTTTTTTTTCCACAGTTGTTTTTGTTTTCTAACTTTGTTCATTCATTCATTCAATAGCTACCAATTTCACATTCATTACTCTGGACAGTTTATAATTAAAACAAACTATACCTCCCCAAAATAAACCAACTATAGAATAGCTATAGCAATAGCGCTTAGACTTATATACCGCTTCACAGAGCTTTACAGCCCACTCAAAGCGGTTCACAACGTTAGCATATTGCCCCCAACACTCTGGGTCAAACAAACAGTACAAATGTTTAAAACAGTCATAAAACGCGTGCATCCCCTCCTTCTAAAATTGCAAGGTTTCTTTTAAAAGGGGAGCAGAATCAGGTTTTCCAAAAGGCGTTTTAAACAAACGTTCATCTAACGATGCAGAAAACTGTTTGCAGACAGATAGGCAGGGCAAAAAGAATGACAGCCCTCTACAGGCGGGGCTTAAGTTTCCCTAGCAACCGTCGCCATCTATTCCTTCCTCTCTCTCCCCCTCCCTCTCTCTTGTAAAGGACCAGGGAAAGTCCCGCCCCCGGCTCGGCTCGTCCAATCACAGCAGAGGAAAGCGGCCTCCCCCCTCGTACCTAGCGTTGGGTTCCCGAGCACGCGCGCGCGCTTTGATGACGCCATGACGCCAGCGCCAAACCAGAACCCCCTGTGGGCTTGGGTTGGACCCGGCGCCCTCCCGGCCGCGGGCTGAGGTGAGTCCGTTCGGGGCTGCCCGGCGAGTTCCGGCCCTCGCCCCGCTCCTCCTTCTTTTGCCCGGCCTCGACGGGGCTGGGCTGGAAGGTCTTGGCCGGCTGGGTCCTCCGGGGCCTGCGCTTGTTTCCTACCTGGTCCGCCTGCCAGGCCCGTTTTCGGTCCCCACTCCCACCTCACCTGGGAGCGAATCTGGGCCTCCCTCCGGCCGTCTTATCCCCCCACCCGGGCAGAGTTTTTCCACGGCAGGCAAGCGAGCGGTCTGGGAAACGCAGCGCCGCGTTCTTGACAGCTTGGTTGCCTCCAACCTTGGTTGTTGTTTGAGAACCCGGGACCCATAATTCCCAGCTGGCCTGTGTTATCCCGGCCCATCTGGGAAGGAAGCACTTCAGGAGGCAGGAGAGGAAATATCGTTGAAGGAGGAAGGTGAGGAGGGGGTGGGTCCCCGCTGGGGGTGGAAGGAAGACTAGATTTAGCTTTTTTTTAAAAAAGATATACAAATCCTATAATTTAGTAATAGGCAGTGTCCCACCCCCCCTTTCATCCAGCCTGGTCTTTTAAACTTTACAAACCCTTTCACATTCCCTGTTACCAGAGTCTTTATTTATTTTATTTATGTATTTGTGAAACGTGTTAACAGCAGGGGTGGGATTCAACAATATTAACAACCGGTTCTGTGGGCGTGGCTTAGGTGGTGGGCGTGGCTTGGTGGTCATGTTATTGGCGGGGTGTGGCCAACTCAACATCACTTACATTGAGGCATGCATCTCCTCGTCTGGCCTCTCATGACTGTGGGAATGCTGCAACAGTCGTAAGTGTGAAAAATGGTCCTAAGTCACTTTTTTTCAGTGCCATTGTAACTTTGAATGGTCCCTCCACACAAGCAAAGTACCAGCAAAGGAAGGGGAAAAAAAAACCCCAGAGACGTTCCTGGGACAGAAAGTCTAGTCCTGCCAAGAATGTAATAAGGATTAACAGAGAGGCAGTTTCTGTAAGCAACACCAGAATGTTTCCTTCCTGCCTTCTTTACAGGATTAGGCCAGTAATTTCTTCTAACAACCGGTTCTCCGAACGGCTTAGAATGTTAACTGGTTTTAGCGAATAGGTGCGAACTGGTAGAATCCCACCCCTGGTTAACAGATATAATTAGAACGTGATTATGATTACATGAAATGGGTACGGATAAAAGGAAGACATTAGGACAGGGACGGTAGGCATGTTGGTGCGCTTAAGCACATCCCTTACAGACCTCTTAGGAATGGGGGTGAGGTCAACAGTAGACAATCTAAGATTAAAGTGTTTGGGGAAGAAACCACAGTCAGGTAGTGCATTTCATTCTTGTATTATTGTATCCAACCTTGTACTACTACTATTATTATTGTTATTATTGTCATTATTAATCATACAGTCAGCCACCCAAGGCTCCTATTACTATTGGTACTACCCTTGCTTGCCTATGCTATAGTCATTCTATTTCTATTTGTAGGTCTTTGTATTTTGTTATCTTCTCCAGTTCTTTCTTTTCTCTTCTGCTGTCTCCAGACACTGCCATACTTTTTTTGTCTTTCTCACTGACAACTGTTAAGTCTGGGGTGTTATGTGGCAGGTGCCTGTCTGTCTGGATTCTGAAGTCCCAGAGAAATAGAAGTAGTATTGTATCCAGCCTTGTATTATTGCTGGCTGGGGAGTTCTGGGAGTTGAAGTCCACACCTCTTCAAGTTCCACAAGTTGAGGAAACACTGGTTTAGATTGAACTTTCCGGTGAAATATGTTTCTCGTTGTTAAGCCTTGCTCTCTCTTTTTAAAATGGATTAACTTTTGAAATGTTAAGTCAGGTCTGTCCTTGGGTATATGGCACTCTTCGTCTACCGTGTTTTAGCTGTGCGTGTGATACTTGATCCAGTGTGTGCCATTAGTTTGTGGTTAAAGGTGACTTATGAAACTCTTTTAACATGTGTTTCATTGGATAAAATAAGGTAACCGCAGCTCAGTGCGTTGTGCAAAGATGGATTTAGGTTCTAGGACTAATCAAGCATAGTTTGGGCTGACAGGCAGATGAAGAATTTTTGAGCAAATAAGAAAGGGACATAAATGTTCTAAAACAGACGTCTCCTACCTTTTTTCGATCCAGTACAAAATTTGATTTCTATCTGTTTCCTGAGCCTGAATGATCATTCTAATCCAGTATGTAGGGTTTGGCTTTAAAGAAATGGCTTTAGGATTATGTATTAATCTTTTAACCCTGAATTTCTAAAGCTGCTTGCTTTCGAATATGGGAAGTCTATGTCATAATGTCCACTTGTTTAACAACAGTTTAAAATTATAATGGCCTTAGGAAAAAATGACTTATGACTAGTACTTGTAATTACGACCATTGTATCATCCCCAGAGTCATATGATTGCAATTTGGGCACTTGGCAGCCAACTCTTATTTGTGCTGTGGTCTGTAGTCGTATGATTGCAATTTGTACCTTTTTTGCTAAAGACCCATTGGGGAAGCAGGATCTGCTTAACAGCCACTATAAAAATTGTCATAAAATTGGGCCTGATTCAGCTTTCAACCACAATGACTTAGAATGGAAATTCCAATCCCAATTGTGATCATAAGTCAAGGACTACCTGTATTGCATTTCTTTTTGATAGGCTTATAAAATTGTACATATTCTGCCATTTTCAAAAGATGGGGTTATCTTTCAGTTTTCCAGATTTTGTTTCTGTCTGCGAATAGCTGAAATATGTATGGTTACTTTGAAAGATTGAAAAGTTTATTATGTATGATTGCATATGTGTATAAAATTCAGAAAATTTTAATGTTAATGTCAAGCATCCAGAAAGTATCCATGATATCAATCACTCCGAGACATTAACTCTCCAATCTAAAAACTAAAATTTTCTAAACTAATAACCTGTTTATGTAGAACATAAGTTTCAATCCTCTTCCTAAACCAGGGTCCCCCCAAATGTTTAATATTGACCCCCAAGGGTTGATGAGATTATCCACTGTTATTATTCTGTTAGTTAAAGTGGTATTTATTAAATTGTTCTCATATAATGTTTGGAGTCCACGAACAATTTGAAATTTCATGAAGGGTTTGATGAGCTGAAGAGTTCGGGAGCGCCCTGTCCTAAACTATTATAAGGAGGAGAGGCTGCCTCAACTTCAGCTTTAATTCTAAACCATAATAATTCTCAGGACTGGTATTATTAACACTGAAACCTTAATGCTTTCTAGCTGTAGAATCAGGATATTTTCTGGCTACATCATTTTTGACACTTCTAAAAAGTTCCTGATGTTTGAATTAAGCTGTAGATGCAGGAAAAAATAATGGAGCCAACTCACTGACTGTTTTTCCTTTCTTTTCAGCTTCTTTGGGATGTTGCAATGGTTGGGATTGTTCCAGACATGGTTGCTGTGATGCTACCTACCGCGGGAGAGCAATTTGATGGATGACTAGTACCATTCAGTGATGGGCTGTGGGACTAGTAAAATCCTTCCCGAGCCTCCCAAGGATGTTCATTTGGATCTGGTTAAAAAGGTCGAGCCCTACACTGCTTATAAAACTGACATATATAAACATTTCATCAAAGGTGATGGAGAGGCCATCAAGTCTGCTATTCCTTCTCCTCCGTGCCACACCAATCCGTATGTGGAGCAGCAGGAGCCCCGGAAGAACAGAGTGGCAAAGTACCGTGCCAAATTTGATCCCAGAGTGACCGCCAAGTACGACATCAAAGCTCTGATTGGCCGAGGTAGCTTTAGCCGGGTGGTACGCGTGGAGCACAAAGCGACCAAGCAGCCTTATGCAATCAAGTTGATAGAGACCAAATACCGCGAGGGGAGAGAGGTATGCGAATCGGAGCTGTGCGTGCTCCGCCGAGTGCGGCACACCAACATCATCCAACTCATCGAAGTCTTTGAGACTCAGGAGCGTGTCTACATGGTGATGGAACTGGCCACCGGAGGCGAATTGTTCGACCGTATTATTGCTAAAGGGTCTTTCACGGAAAGAGATGCCACCCGAGTGCTACAGATGGTCTTGGATGGGGTTAAATACTTGCATACGTTGGGCATAACTCACAGAGACTTGAAGCCAGAGAACTTGCTCTATTATCACCCAGGTATGGACTCTAAAATCATGATCACCGATTTCGGGCTAGCGAGTGCCCGGAAGAAAGGAGATGACTGCTTAATGAAGACTACCTGTGGGACCCCGGAGTACATTGCCCCAGAGATCTTGATCAGGAAGCCTTACACTAACTCTGTGGACATGTGGGCGCTCGGGGTGATCTCGTACATCCTGCTCAGTGGGACTATGCCTTTTGAGGATGATAATCGCACCCGCTTGTATCGGCAAATTCTGAAAGGAAAATACAGTTACTCTGGGGAGGTGAGTAAAGGAATGATGATGATGGTGATGGTGATGGTGATGATTGATGTGTGTGATGAGAACGTGACAGAAGAGAAGTAAATGTATATACATAGTCCACATAATTATAAGTAATACATCTACGGGAGTGTGGCAGCGGCCTCATAATTGGGTGTTCAGTTCAGCTATCCAGACGATCAATCACATCTGGCGTTGCTTCATGCAGATCTAGCGAATCAGGGAATGCGCATTGTGGCCAATCATACCCAATATGTTTAGCAGTTTATATAGCGACACCACAATCGCAACGAGGGGAATCTTTCCACCCCCACGGCTACAGGGCACAGGCATTTCTTCCAGTATCAAACCTAATTATAGGAAATAAAAGAACAGCAAAGGACTAGTGCCGTCCCTGTGTTTTTGCAGTGACGTCTTCAATATTTGAATCACTTCTCAAAAGAGGGATGATCTGCTTTTTTTGAATGGCTCTGCTCTGAAAAGTGGGTCTCTTCTAGGAATATGCCTGTTGTGAGGGAATGGCCCAAAGTGCTGCAGTGTGACAGTACCAAAATAGCAATGGTAGAAGGAACTTTTAGCACAGCGCAACTGTATAATGCTCTTAATACTCCACCAGTGATACACAGATACATACTACTTTTTAATCTTGTTCTTGAAATTTTGCCTGAGACTTGGGGTGATGCCTTTCAGGTGTGCTATAGGTCAAATTTCATGGTATTTCATTTGACCTGTTGTTTCTCTATGTATGTTTTATTGGGTTATGTCAAGGGTCTTCAAACTTGTCAAGTTTAAGACTTGTGGACTTCCAACTCCCAGAATTCCTGAGCTAACGTGACTGGAGGAGGAATTCTGGAAGTTGGAAGTCCACAAGCCTTAAAGTTGTCAAATTTGAAGATCCCTGGGTTATGTCATGCAGACATCTTTTATAGATGACCTCCAGCCTTCCTTTTGAGTATGGTAATTTGAATTAATATACATTGATTTTTAAATGCTTCTGATGAGCGTCAAATCATAATTCTATCAAATGTATATCAAAAATACAAAGCTACAGTGTCCTGTCAAAACTCTTTGATTATTGACTTTGTCTCTTTTAGATTCAAGAACTGACTTTTCCCACTACCTGTATTTGCACATAATAACAAAAAAAAAAGAGTTTTGTTGCATGACTCTTTGCAGACCTAAGTGGAGCCTCGGATTTCTGCACTGTCCATTTCCTTCTCTTCTGGCCTGAGAGTCAGAAGAAGAATTATGTACAACTTAATTTAGCTGTCCACATTTCTTGTTTCTAAATCAAAAGATGATTTAAAACAAAGGGTTTGTTACTGACTTTTTTAGCAGTTGGCAAAACATGATTCCTATTTAATTCATAATAATCAGCCAAGAATGGAAGAAAGATAAACAGTATCTATTCAGAGTCTTCCTTTTAGCAAGGATGAATATCCTTCAAGTGTTCTCCCATATTTTCAAAGAATTGTCTGTAGACTATGCCAAATACTGGCTTGGTGCTACATAAAATTAGGCATAACATTTAATTTCTTTTAAAGGATTATTGTTTGCTTGTTCCCAGCATCGTTCCTATTTTGTGTCGCAGAGTTAACTTCCTATGCACTTGTCCCAAGGGTGCTTTTTCAAGAGGCAACTGGACTTTCTCTTTTTTCTTTGAAGATGCTTTGCTTCTCATCCAAGAAGCTTCTACAGCTGAAATGTCTTCAAAGAAAAAAAACTAAAAAGTCCAGTTGCCTCTTGAAAAAACACCTTTGGGACAACCATGACTTGGATGACTGGGAATCTCCATATGCACTTTTTATGAGGAAAAAATTCAAGAGGTTGAGCTCTTGGGATCTTTCTCCTTTTCCACTGGTTCAAAACAAGTGCCTTTTCCAAACTTGAGGCTGTGCTCAAATTCGTAACTAAAATTGCTGAGGCTGTTGACAGCGAAATGAAAATTGAAGTGTAGATTGACAAGAAAAATCTGACGCCAGCTAGAGGTAGCCCTCGGCTTTCCGCCACAACTGAACTGAACATTTCTGCTGCTAAGTGAGGCAGTTGGTTAGTGAATTTTGCCCCATCTTACAAACATTCTTGGCACCGTTGTTAAGGGAATCACAGCAGGTGTTAAGTTGTTAAATGAATCTGGCTTCCCCACTGACTTTGCTTGTCAGACAGTCGCAAAAGATGACCACATGGCCCAAGGACACTGCAACCGTCATAAATATGAGTCAGTTGCCAAGCACCCAAATTTTAATCATATGACCATGGGGAGGCTGCAACGGTCATGGGGATGAAAACAGTCATAAGTTGTAACTTCAGATGGTCAGAAAATGGTCTGTTGTAAGTGGAGGACTAGCTGTATTGCAGTTGCTGCCTGCCAGTACAGCAGCCGGTGTCTTCCTAATGTGGTTCCATTCTTGAAGGGAGGGTCCGTTTTCAAGAGGCTATTAAGCAATCAATGGCCGTGTTACTCTAATAACTCAGGTTCTGCTGACTTCAACTGCTCTAATTATTATTCTTTCGCTCCTGGGTGATATACAGCGGATGACCAGGAAGGGAAGTTTAATGCAGCTTGGAAAGACACTACAAACACTTCTGATGATGTTAGCGTCCTGCATTACAGTGCTTCTCAGAGCAGGATCAGCTCAATTTATCTATTAGGAACTAATTGTGTTTTTCCCTGCACCCTGCAGCTTCTTTGCTTTATCAGGGCTTAGTTAAATAAGCAGAAGGCTTTGTTTTGCTGTATATATTTTTTTTCAAATCAGGATACCCAGCAGAAAAAGCTCCTTCTGACGTGTCTGAGAAGTCGAATGGTTTGATATATCCTATTGTTCTGCTCTCTGATGATCGATAATAAAAACCTCAAGGTAGAAGTACCCCTAAATTAACCTACCTGCTTCTTTTACTAATTTATAAATGGGGCCACATCACAGGAAGCAATGGGCAGCGGGGAAGAGAAGGCACCTGTGTTTTACATATTTTTAATATAGATGTTTTAAATATGTACTACAATTTTCATGTATTTGACATCTCAGAATAGCCAGACGTGATGCTGTTAATCTTCACGAACTGTCTGAGTAGCTAGTTTTTGTTTTTATACTTACACTTGGACCGTCCCCTTAGATTTTCACCCAAAGCTCAGCAACAAATCTTTGTTTGGGAACTTGGATAGGTATACAAGAAGCCCTTAACGACAATAAGCTGCTGTACAATCATGAGCCCTCTTTAAAATTTGTGTTTCTTTCTCCTATCTTTATATGGTAATAGACTTCTGGCCACTTGTTTCTCAGCCTTGCATCCTATTTTGATAACATCTAGTCTAAGGTTGTGAGCTTCCAGCCTTCCCAGCTTCAGTCATCACAATGGCACAAAATGTTTTCAATATATGCTCAATACATTCTACATGTTAGAAAGTGCAAATGGAACTTCAGTAACAGTCTGCAGTTATTTCCACAGTTCCAGCTGAAGTGCTCCTGTGCATCCTCCCAAGATAGTCCATTCTATCCAGGCATTTCATTTTACATTTTTCTTTTCTAATTAACACTGAATATTGTGTGGTTTTCTCATTAGAATGTGATTATGAGCTGTTTTTTAATGCCTGCAAACCTTAAATTTCCTCTGTGCTTGCTCGTAGGCTCCTGTTGAAGGTCAGTGACTGTTACAGTTCTAGCTGTGTTTTGTCTGTCTTTACTTTAGCAGCTGTTCTCCTGCTTTCTCCCACAAAAATCTTACTTGCAAAAGTAAAAGTTGGTCGATAAGCATGCACACAGCCCAAAAATGTCTGGAAAGACACTGTATTTTACGAGACTATTGAGGTTAGAGAGGCCTGGTTTCAAATCACAGGAAATACGAAACTCATTGGCTGACGTTGTCTAGTTACTTCAAGTAGTCCTCGACAGGGATCAGAAAGAAAAAATGCTACCTAGGCAATGGAAACATTTATTGCTAAGATATTTTATAACACACGGGCGGAACACAAATTGAATTTGTGCATGCAGGTAGTCCTGGACTTACAACAGTTTATTTAGTGACCGTTCGAAGTTACAACAGCACTGAAAAAAGTGACTTACGACCAATTTTCACACTTATGACCTTTGCAGCATCCCCATGGTCACGTGATTTACATTTGGATGCTTAATAACTGACTCATGGCCCAGAATCATGTGATCCCCTTTTGTGACCTTTTCACAAGCAAAGTCAATGGGAAAACCAGATTCCCTTAATAACCAGGTTACTCATTTAGGAATTGCAGGGATTCACTTAACAAACGTAGCAAGAAAAGTCGTAAAATAGAGCAAATTCACTTAACCAAGTTCTCAGCAACATATAAGTTTTGGGCTCAATTGTGGTCCTAAGTTGAGGACTACCTGTATTAAAAGTTGCCAGTTAATTGCCTGATATTTAATAATCATATTGAGAGGAAAATGCTGTGGATGACGCATTAAGTTTAGATGAAGGCGAAGTAAAGCAAATGCGCTGGTCCAGCCTTTCCTTTTCATTCAGGATTTGTTTTTTTCCTGTATTCCTAAAAACCGAAAAGTGAAGAAAGCCTGTCTGGAATGTTTCTCAGGGTAGAGACGAAGTAAAGCAAAATGCAATTTAAAACTCCCCCCCGCCCCCATCACTTAAAAGGCAGGGGATGCATCATCTGCTTTGGAAGAGTGATTTAAATTTATCATTTACACTGGTCAGCTTGCCTGGGAAAATGGTCCACCAACGTCCCTCCCTCCCTGTTGCGTTGTGACTCACAGGCAGCTTTTAATCTCTCATGAATACCACTTCCACTTGATACAAAGTTTAATGCACCTTGACGCAGAAGACACTTCAGAAAGTTTTGGTGCAGATATTGCCTTGAACACACTATTGTGTGCATCGCTGATGAAGTATTGACTTACTCTGTATTATAATACACAAATGTAAAATTTGTAGAAAAGATTAAATACCACGAGGAAACCAAGGCCGCCTTAGACATCATACATAAATTGAGGCCCTTTGGGTAACTTTAGTCT